AACTTTATATCTTGAGCTACAAACTATTTAACTTTCACTCTATACAAACATAAGAAAAAAAAAAGGTTTCGTCACAGAGGTTCACGAATTTTCCCCGCCATATTCTGCTCTTCCGCTAAAGATACGAAAATAAGTCATAATTGAGAGTAAATTTATATATAATAATAATAATCAGAGTGAGAGATTGAGAGGCTGGTGAAAACTGTCTAGCGCTACTGGTGTACTATAGGTTATTAAGTCTGTACAGGCCGGGGCGGGAAGACCGGACTGGGGCGGGAAGACCAGACTTGGACGGGAAGACCGGAATTGGAGGATATTTTCGATGTTATTACTTATGCACTAATATTATTTAAATCACTGTACAGACATCTAAAATTTCTAATCAACAAACTTTCCTAGAATCAGCGCGAGTGAGGAATGATGAGGTAGCCGAGTACATTATACTGTTCTGAGTGTTGCTGGTTGACACGTCATCAGGATACCCGGCTGTGATTGGGTACCTAACTTTAAGGTTGAGGAAATGAAAGGAGGCGTGTGCAGTGCCAACCATACTGCCTCCCTGTACCGAAAGTGTGTTAGTATTCAGTGTGTTATATCCGAACTGCCGTAATCGAGCAGCTAAGCCTTTAGATTTCACTTCTAATTTCCATTTTCAAGCGAGGAAGGGATTAAGAAGAATGAAAAAGAAGAAATAAAAAGAAGAAAAAAAATATATATATTGATGATGATATTGAAGAGAAACAAAACTCGGATGAAAAAAGTTCGAGTTTCTTTTTTATATAACTTTTTACTTTTCACTATCGTCCGTTATTTTATTCCTTACTGTGTGTTAAAAGTGGTCTTAAGTAAGCCAGCAGAGTTAAAGTCTTTATTAATTCCCGTATTAAGTTATATTCTCAGGGTGTTACAGTATAGACCAGAAGTAAGACACGCGAACACCTGTAAATGTACACCTGTCAGGCAAGCCACTCCCTCATACAGGTGTTGGGAGCAAACTTACGGCTCTAATTATAGATCTATTAACTAACTACCATATCCTGTTTCTTTAATCACAAGGAACGTGACTCTTCCCCCGCCACACTCACGCACCATGACGAAAATCCGCATTATAAAAATCTACGTGATATATTAATTGGTTTCGTACAGTACATCAAACGAAATCAGATGGTAAGTGAGTCACAGAGGAACGTGTGTGTGTGTGTGTGTGTGTGTGTACAGACCAGGAGAACGTTGTTATTACCATATTATTACATAGTTTTAATATCTCCGCTTGATATTTTTCTCTTGTTAACAGATCTACGTCACAGTAAAATGTTTTCAGTGTATAATATAAAGTTATGGTGAATCAGATGAGTTTTATCTCTGATGTATAGTTAAACGAGGTAGTTCTGGACCAGGGTGTTTGTAGTCGAGAAGGGCAACACCTCCGCGCACCTGCCTATATTAGTATAGATTAAAACTCAAAAATAACGAGGACATTCAAATGGAAATCGATATGAAACCTCGGTTTTTCGATAACGGGTAGACAACGTAAACAACGGACATGTGGCAGAACTATTAATATGAGAACCACAAATACGGTCTGCCCACCGCCCATCCCCGCCCACAGCCGCCCCCGCCCCCGCCCACAGCCCAGTCACCACCCTTGCCCACCAACGCCCTACAGGCAAACAAGCAGTCGCCGGTACACGCCCTCAAGACGTCTATGCACGCGAGCAAGCAAGACCCACATGAGAGGCCCTTTTTTCCTTTTACAGGACTACACGAGGGGGTCGAAGACAGCGCCACCCCTCGAGTGACAATAAAGGTCAAAAACGTCTCGTAAAAACCCCGGAAAATAAGCTCTATTGCCCCCTGGTTGACGGGTGTGTCATGTCGCAGGCAATCGTGAAAATTTAGCTCCCCCTCCCCGCTGACATGTTTTTATCTGGTGTGCTTCTTGGCCGAGTTATCCTCACGTGAGGTCCATTCCGGGTCTTAGTGCGCCCTCGCCCTATGAATTACACCGCCACGCTACTCCCTCGCAAATGATTTTCTTTTATCCATTAAATATTTAGAAGCAGCCCAGGTAATTTGGAGGCGAGTAAGTCAGCAACACACTGGTCCACGGAATCTGTCCCAACACTGAATGATTAATGTCAAGGGTTTATATATATATATATATATATATATATATATATATATATATATATATATATATATATATATATATATATATATATATATAAAATCACATTAAAGGAAACAACGGAGCACCTTAGCTTTCGTCTTTATTCAAGACATCTTGAATAAAGACGAAAGCTAAGGTGCTCCGTTGTTTCTTTTCCCGTGTGATTTTATCAAGATTTATCTTATCCACGTTTACATTGTGGATCTACATATATATATATATATATATATATATATATATATATATATATATATATATATATATATATATATATATATATATATATACCATCATTGTAATAAAGAGATGTGCCTAAAATATTACGGTGTCGTGTTAACAATACAGGTTCGTGTTGACATTGATGACGTTCTCAGGATAATTTACGTCACTTTAATAGTTGATAATATATCTATTTGAGGCCACAATAAAAGATGTATTTAGCCACAGTCGAGTTTACCTGACGTGGCCGGTGTACTGGCCAGGACCCACCACTAACTACCAAGTGTATCATAGTTAATACCCTCCTCCTCGTACACGCCAGATGCCCCATTCAAACTAGTGAGATAAATTCACCTTCACAAGGATGTGTCCGCTTCCCTAATATTATCCAATCAGCAACTTGTAATCTCCCCTTCAGCAGTAAGGTCGCCGGGAAGGTCTTGCAGTAACAACAACCTCCGCGCCACCATTTTGTCGACAGGTCGCACACGCTCGACTCTTGAGAGTTGATATTCCTCTTATTACAATAATAGTGACGCTCTTTATCGTATTAATGGCGTAAACACTATGAACACATGGGGTTCAGACCCTCAGACCTTGTGGGAAATAGGTATTTACTCGCGTACAAAAACTAGTTCCTCCTCAAGCAGCTGTGTTGTTCCACCTCCCCCTCCAAGGCACGTCCTCGACCACGTCACCAAGGAGGAGGTAGGGCCCCGTGGACGATCTAACCGACCCACAATAGGTCGTCTCCTCCTCACACCCACCATTATCTCCCAATTGTAACGCCACACACAACAAGGACCTCCCACGATTGTGAATCTCTCTTAACCTTCTGTGAGGCGTCTCTTGTTTTGGTGAGCGGCCACTTCATACCACTTGCCTCTATAACTGAACGCTTGTTAATGTATAGAATTATAGCTCTTGCGTCTATAACCAGTTATATACAGTACACGTACATGTAAAAGTTAAGGCACCTGACTGTATGGGTTAACTCGTTATCCAGACTGAGCAGTTAACACACTATACGAGGCCACACAAGAGAAACACCAGTAATTCACACCTGAAGGACTGAATTACCTGCTAGGGCCGGCCGCGTCACGCTACTTCACCAACACAACACTTCGTCAGCGTCTTCAGGAGGAGATATATACTGCGCTTATCGTTCACATGAAGATTTCTATAAACCGCAGAGTAACGTAATCCACAACAAATAAATTTTACCCACTGAAATTATCTATTATCCACAGGCAAATATAAATTATCCACACGATGTAATGTTATTTAGATAATAAAATTGTCTTTAGCGCATGTTAATAATTTAGTGTTTGGTTGAGGTAACTTTACTGAAACGAATCACATCCGAGCGACGGGGTCAGTGTAAGAGGAGGGAGAACGTGTACTGTACCTGAAGAGTGGTCACAGACAGACACTCAACGACCTCTTCCTCCTCCAGTTCTTCTTCTTCCTCCTCCACTACTTCCCCTTCCTCCTCCACTTTTAACATCTTGATTACAACGACTTAATTCCTTAGTCCGGCTCGGGGGTCTTAATACAGGTCTTCCCCTAAAGAGGAGATTACTCTTAATATCCATCCAGTACAAGACGGAGGGAGGGAAGGAGGGAAGGAGGGAGGGAGGGAGGGAGGTAGGGAAAGACCGTCTTAAAGTGTACTTCCGGTTTATACTTAACGCGGCTTGGTGGTTTATTAAGTATCGAACGGTCTGTGAGTTAAACCCTCCCAGTAATGTAAATTAAACCCTTTCAGAAATATATCCTACACCCTCTCAGCTCACAGCCGCAATTAGAAGCACAACTCCTAAACTTGTCGTAGGATACTTAACTCCTCAGTGACGGTACGAAATGAAAATAAAAAATGGCCTGAAACGTAAACTCGAGCTGGTTGTAGGAGGTGAAATGGAAGGGGGGAGAGAGGGGGTAGAGAAGGGGGGGGACTGAGGAATAAGTCATCCCCCCATCACCTTACCCCTATCCTTCCTCCCCCTCCCTTATCGTCTCACAAGGGGAAGTCTATCACCTATCCATTCGTTCGTATTTCCAAGGGAGTATTTTATAGTATAGTGAAGATATGTGTTGTAGACCATAGCTGGCTGTCATAATGATATATTTAGATATCTTGTTTTGAAACTGATCCTAGAATTGTCACACAGGAAACAGACGATCATACAGTGGTGTCGTTGTCTCCAGGTATAACGTCAATCACACCACAGTATTGTAACCCTTAATGAGTCTTACCGAGGGAAGGAAATTGTATAGCAGCTGTATACCCCTCCAACACACACACACACACACACACACACACGAGGGGGAAACAAAACGGCGGAAGTAACAAAAAAAAAAAAGAACTACTATATTTTTACGTATAAGCCAGGGTAATCGCAGACACTTGACATTTACAACCAAAACAAAATAAAAACACAATAATTACAGTGATGATGATGACGAGTGACTTAGATATAAACATATATTTTTACTCTACATTTCAACAAGTTATATCTTAACCAGTTGGTTGTTGTGTCTGAGATCACCGATGGGAGGGGGGAGGGAGGGAAGGGGTTGTGTCCGTCAAACGATGAATGATTTTTTTTACCTTCATGAGTGGAAGAAAAAACTCCGCGTTCTTATCAGGCGTCATTGTTCCATGGCAGTTCTGTAGGGGAGGATAGGAGTTAGATCAGCTGTGAGAGGCTGTAACTAACACACACACACACATACACACAAAGACAAATATAGTTGACATAGACACATACTGACAATAAAATCCATAAATATAGTTAAAAGAAGATCTAATACAGCCATCAGCTCCTATTTTATTACTTATGCTGATCAAGAGGTGTTTAAAGTGAGTAAATTAATCAGTCAGGTACAGTAATTAAAGTAACAATTAAACTAAGATCTAGAATAACACCTGTAATTAATAACTCACTATTAATTAAAACTATCCAAGGTAACTTCATTCTCATTCATACATTCAAATATTACAAAATTGAATCCATGATCTATAATGTAATTGTAGTTATACGTCTATGCCAAATTATATACCGATGTATGTGTATAATGGAAAGATAATTATAGCTATTGTAGTGTGGTGTAGTGCCAAGGGGTTAGGTTAGGTTAGTGAGGGAGGCGCTTGTGCTGCCACCATCAGACAGAGAGAGAAACATTTTTTAGGATGTCTTGATTTCATAAGAATGTATCATCAGGTATAAAACTATATAACAAAATTACCATAGAATCATGAGGTGTGTGCATGAGAGTTATAACAAGATTGTAAGTTATCAGTGAGAACATTGTGAGGAAATAAAGAAGCACAATAGGAAGAGAGAAGTATAATTATATTCAAGAGGTTTACTGAGTTCTGAAGTGATTTCCAGAAGCGTGGCAGATAAGAAGGCGAAGGGGGGGGGGGACAGTGTATCATACCTGGACACACACACAGGCTGATGAGAGACGCATTACCCCATAGTTAAGAGTTACAGGTACACGAGTATTATAATCTGAGGAAATATGTTAGAAAAATGTTCCAATATGGTGTACGGACATATTATTTTCTGTTGGTGATGGTGATAGTGATGGTGATAGTGATGGTGATAGTGATGGTGATAGTGGTGGTGATAGTGATGGTGATAGTGGTGGTGATAGTGATGGTGATGGTGATAGTGATGGTGATAGTGGTGGTGATAGTGATGGTGATAGTGGTGGTGATAGTGATGGTGATAGTGGTGGTGATAGTGATGGTGATAGTGGTGGTGATAGTGGTGGTGGTTTGTTTACCTACGGTGATCAGTACAAAAAGGTGTGATAAAAATGTTTGATCCTGGTACAAGTTTATGTGTGAGGAAGGAGGCCGGTGTTCACAGTCAGGGGGTGTGACCAGGTTCTCGTGGGAGGCGGTGCAGCAGCGGTGAGCATGTAACTATTGTAACATGGGTGGCCGCCGTCAGGTACTGTACCGACGGCGGCTTGTGTCTGCTGGGGATGACGACAAGAACATGTGACGCCTTCAAACATGTATGAGGTTCCTAGGCCCTGACATGTGTACCATGGAAATATATATCGTGTATATGTGTGTGTGTGTGTGTGTGTGTGTATATGTGTGGGTGTGGGTGTGTGTGTGTGTGTGTGTGTCTCAGAGGTAAGACTCAATTTTATGGTCGGGGAAATTTGTACTAATATTTTAAAATCAGAAAGTTGAGGGGAATAAGACCTTCTGGAGTAAAAGAGAGGAGAAGACAATGGAGGTGTTCGTTGTTCCTCTGTGTCTTGGCCCGGAAACAGCTGCCAAAGAGAACTGGTTTTAATCTACTGGTGTGGTTTCTGGTACAATGTAATTCAGTTTTTCTACGCGTGTTAAGACGAGTATTGGCAGCCACCCAGTAGGAAACATTTATTACTTTACGTTACTGTACTTGTTGCCCCTAGCTGAGAGTCACAGTGGCGGGACGAGGAGAAAGTGTCACTGTCGCTCCCGTGAATACTGGCGGGGAGGTGTTCTATTGATACTACTACACATGTTCACTGTTGATGACATAACTCAGGTGTTTGCTCTTCCAGGACGACCACCGTGATATAAACATCATTTCGTTGTCTTCATCTGGGATTTCTAAGTGTGTGGCCGCTTATGGGAGGTGTGTTTGATGGGGTGTGTTTGATAGGGTGTGTTTGATCACCCACAATCATCAATATCTTCAATCATCATTATCACCATTAATTATCATCACCACTATTATCAATCACCATCATGACACCACTCAACTCCCGTACCTTCCTTTAGCAGACAGTGTGTGTGTGTAATGCTAAGTATACCTCTTAAGAAATGTATTAATCTATTATCTTGCTATAACTTATACACAAAAACCATTATAATTTACGATCACTTTCCATTTTACTTCCTCTTGTATATTGGCTCGACTTTTCATAACTCAGGGTTTTAAGATTTTATCGTAATTATTCACAATCACAAGTTTTGGTGATTTGTGTAAAGTTTCAAACCACATATATATATATATATATTATATATTACACGTATGCTATATCGACATCATGAGGCTATTTATTTAAACTGATGGCTGATAATAGGGTTTGGAGGC